ACCAGAAGAACGAGAGGCGGTAGAAATGAAGGCAACTGGAGTGGACAGTGAACGATATGGACGATTTTGTTATTAGCTAATTTAGATTCATGATACCATCCTCATGGCGGCGCGAGCCAGTCAAAACAATACAAAAAAAGGATATAACACATCAGATTTGTACACGTCACAGCTGCCTTAGGGATGTCGTGATATCTCGCGTGGTATAGAGCTCGTGTACGATGCTCGCCCCTCACCAATACATGCAAGTTGAAGCGAGATTCGTTGGCGGTGTATGTAACCTTAGAACGTTTTGACTAAAGGGATCTAAGTATCAAAAACTACATAATCCAGGTCAAACTCTAGCGCATGACCAACTCCAAGTTTCACAATCACCGTTTACTGTACATTACTCGTTTTCGCCCTCAGGAAATTCTCAACCATCTCATCACTTACCTCCGTCACATTGGCCGGTTGACTGCGGGACTCCCCTTTGCTCCCCACTGCCGAATCTGGACGTTGGTCGGCACGTGGGCTCACGTCGCCGACCTTCTGAACCGGCCCATCCGGTGCAGAGCCGTTAGACGTCGCTGCCGTGCCCACTGCGCCAGCAGCCCCACTGCGTTGCTGATCTTGGTCATTTATTGATTGTCTGCCCTCTTGCGTCCGCCCCTGCGTTTGCGCTCCACCTATCCTTTCGTTTGATGGTGTGAGGTTGCCGTGGAACGGGCGCTGTCGCTGCTTCGCGGCTTCCTTGTCGACTTTCCAAATGCCGCCTGACGGATCGACAGTGTAAGCTTGCGGGTCATGCTTTACTAATCTATCGAAGATCGGGTCGTTGGGTACTGTTTTGAAGAAGACGTGTTGAAACTCCTCGCCCTTCGCTTCTTCGTCTTTCCGCATCTGCCTCTGGCCATTTTCGACTACATTCTTCGCAGTTGAAACGCCCTTCATGTCGCCTTTGTGCAGGGATGATATAACATCGCCCCATGCTTTGCGACTCTCCCATGGGTCTTGCTCTGAGAGGTCGGGCACAGTCATGGGTTTGTGCTTGATGGTTCTGACGTCGAAGGTCTCCACCTCGGAACCGTTCCGCGCGTCCTTGATGGTAAACGTGCTGTTCCACGCCCCCTCGATTTCGTAGATGGTCTCACCAGGCTTGTCTGCATGGAAAAATCTTGCGTGGAATCCATTTTTATGCCCTGAGCCGAACAAAGATTTGCCCTCGAATTTGATATGCGATATGTAGCCGTTGGATGAGATGAGAGAATATTCGCCGTACAACTCCGGATGTGGAACCCCGCCTAAGAGACCCTTGACCTTTATGTTCGGCAGTGGAAGGAGGTAATCTTCGTCGTACTTGTCGACATGTACTATGGCATATCCCTTCTGTTTGATACTGACGTTTCCAGAAAACGTGATTTCTTGCTCCGTAAACCCCTCCGCCCGGATCCCAACTTGATCGTTCCACAAATAGCACGCCGTTACAGGTGGATGGTGGCCGACTTGCTCGGAGATTAATCGCGTCTCGCCCAGCTCCTCAGTATTCCAGCTTCCGAGGAAGAGTTCGCCGAGAAACGCGTTCAACGGCTTCTTGACGCCATCTTCCTCATTCCGCCCCGCATATTGCTGTCCTCGTAATGAGCCTAGGAAGTTCTTGAGCACAAGCAACGCGCGTTTCTCAGGGTCCTCTTCCGACGCCGGTGCAGCCCAGAGATATGGATGATCCGCCCAGTACTGTGGTATCTCAACTGTCGAGTTCTCGGCTAGTACGAACGGCGGTGCAGTAATGTTTGAAAGATCTCCCGAGATGGTCGCTATGGAAGAGATAAAGTCCTTCAGCCCAGAGCGGTTTGCTGCGATATCATTTGACATAATTGCGATTTTAGTTTTGATTGGGCTATCATCAATGCCGGGCAATGAACCTAGTTATGGGGAAGATGAGTGACTTTCCAAAGTAGCGCCAAGTCATGACGTCGGTGGTGCAAGACCTTACGACCTGCGGCTAACAACGTGAGATCTGGCTTGCCCTGAATTTTGGTAGGCTGTGCACCAACGACTCCAACGCCGCATCGCGCAATCTGCCGTAAACGCGTACGCGATCGATGTTGGCTCGTCGCATAATCAGCCCGACCCAGCGTAGTCTGACGGGTCGACGCGACAGCCACGTCGCGTGTTCCTCCATAACGGTTTCATTCCACGACAGCTTCAAGCTCATTGGTACAAATAGCAAATGTTCAACAACACCAGGATAAACCGTCGCCAGCTAGACAACCTACTGCAGACTTCACTCGACGTACTCTGCTTACCACTCATCCGACATACCCGTCTTGGCATCATCACCACATCGAGCCTGCTAACAGGTGTTGAAAGCTGTGAACGAGACGGGTTAGCCTGGAGTTGCTTTGCCTTATGAACGTTGTCAATTTTGCTAAAACGACAAAACCTGCTCACGGCGCAGGATAACTCAGCGCAAAAGCCTCTCTGATTTCATCTTCGCCCCATCCCATCGTAAGACCCAACTGCAACAGAATTCTCGCCTTCTGCGGATTGTAAAACCCACTTGCAATAGTAAAGTCACCACCGTCTGGTACGAGTCCATCAGCACTGCGATGGCTAGCTACGATCGGAATACCCGTCGCGTTGTAGAGCTCCTCAGCAGCCAGACCCGCTTTGCTTGATACACCTCCTGCACCAACTCCGGCATAAACGATGCCTTGGGCGCCGGAGGCATAGGATGCATTGAAAAGACTGGGATCCATGTCCTGGTGGGCGTAGAGGATTGGTACGGAGGCTAGGTCGGTGATGTTGGTCACGTCGAAGACTACGCGACCTACCGGCTCAGAGGGTGCGAAGAAGAAGAACGGAACTTGATTGATGAAGACACCGAGTTGGCCGGCTTCAGTCGAGAAGAACGTGTCGAGGGTGTTGGCGTTATTCTTCGTTGTGTAGAATGCAGAGCCGATGCGGTCGTTGAGTACGATCTAAGGGTACTGTTAACCTGCGTTTCTATATCAGCCTTTGCTCATCCACTCACCATTGTTCCTCGATTCCGTCCAGCAGGCGAACCGGCTAGGGTAACCGCTTGATACAGGTTGAGCGGGCCGTCTGCACTCAGCGCGGTCGCTGGTCTCATAGCACCGACTACAATGACAGGTTTCGTAGAGTTGACGGTACTCTCCAAGAAGAATGCAGTCTCCTCAAGCGTATCCGTTCCATGCGTAACCACAACACCCGAAATCTCATCTTTCGCCAACTCAGCATTGATCATATGCGCCAGACTCAGGCTGATAGTCTCATTGATGCTACCAGACCCCACGTTCGAGATCTGGTAGCCGGCAATGTTGGAGATGTTGAGCAGTTCTGGGACGGCATCGACGAGCTGTTGTACCCCGAGGCCGATTGAGTAGCCGGTCGTCTGTGTGTTGCTGTTGCCCTGAGACGCGATGGTACCGCCGGTTGCGAAGATGGTGACATTGGGGAGAGAAGCGTTGATGGGTGTTTGGATGTCCTGTCTTACGAACAGTCGGTGGAGATTTGAGCGACTGAGATCAATTGGTGAAGCTGATGTGAGGGTTGTGAGAAGAGGGATGAGTTGGATTGAGAGCTTCATCTTGGCGTATGAAGGAGGCACGTAGCTGGATTACAGCCAACTTCCTAGGAACTCGAACTGACCTTTTATACTCTTCGTGATCTCCAATTCATGCAGCTCCAATGCCAGGCTCACCGTCGGCCAACGTACAACGCCTATCTCCACGGCCTCTTATCAAGCCATCTTCAAGATACTGTCGTCATGCCGTCTTGGTATTTCTACAAGCAGCTCGATTAGTGAGTTCTGCGAGTCGTAGTCAAGCTTCGCTCTCTTGGCCATGCAAGTCCTCCGAATTTGTCGTGGTATGGTCGGGTCTTATCAGTAAGCCTTGCATGCGATAACCCACCCTCTGGATCCGCTAGAAGATATCTAGTAAGAACGCCAAGTATGATTTTGCAAAGCTCGATGACTGGGCACCGTTCTTGATAGCCGTTACCGGCCTCTGGTCGTGAGGCTTACGTTTTGTCTGCTCTAGGACTTGGGTGGGCGGTACATGGATGTGGAGGTGCGAGAGCTGTGTCCTCGGAGGTATTGTGGTGACCCCGCTCACTCACGCCTTTCGTCCCGATTGGGAACCAAACGACAAGAAGGCGTGGCTGAAGCAATTTCTTGACGAAAAGTACAACACGATGATGTGATTCCTTCATGGATCTTCATACTACTCTTCTATTTCTATAACTACCATGTGCCCACCGTCCGACCTGGCTATCGCCGAAGCTCAAGATACAGACGACAGAGCATACAAGCACCTTTCCGAGCACAGCCTTGATACACCAATATTGAAAGCCGCATATGCACATGCAGCTGAGCTGCTACATCCGGCGATTTTGAACCACAGCATAAGGGTGTATCTCTACGCCTACGCATTGGCAAAACATGAATCCTCCAAGTACTTCACGGACGTTCATCAACGCGATCTACTCTTCACCGCATGCCTTTTCCACGATATCGGAACCACCCAAAGTTATGATGGCCCGCAGCGCTTCGAGATCGAGGGCGCCGACGCCGCAGTCAAATTGCTAAGTGGGTTTGGGGTCGGTGGGACAGAGGCGCACGATGTCTGGACAGCAATCGCCTGCCATACCAGCCCACAAATCGCCGAGAGAATCGGGGAGCTTTCGAGGCTTGTTCGGGTCGCTGTTATTACGGATTTCGGGCGGAGAGGTGAGGATTATGAAGTGCTCCAGTCACTAACGGAAAAACTGGAGGCGCGGTACGGGCGGGCGGGAATCGAGAGGGTGCTTGGTGATGCGGTGGTGGAGCAGGCAAAGCGAAAGCCAGAGAAGGCGCCGAAGGTTTCGTGGCCGCGTGCGATGTATGAGGCATGGCTCGTGGAGCCAGAGTGGGACGGTGTCAACAAGGCGTTTTGAGAGGCTGCATGTGAGCTTCGTATCCTACAGCCTTGTAATCCACCGATGCTGTCACGTCTTCAACCTCCGTCGCTCCTCTCCAGGAAGCCCGGATCCCGTTCGATCTTGCCCTCGAACTTTGTCCACCATGCCTGGAATGCCTTCAACGGCACTGTGTCTCCCGAGCCCCAGCTTGTCAAGAAGTCGTAGCAGTTCTTGATGATCCTCTGCGCCAGCACCTTGGTCTCCACGCTTCTTTGTCCTCTCAGCACCAACTCATTGCCTTGTCCCATGTTTGGTGTTGCCGATGATGCGGCCTCTTGAGCCTTGTTCTGCTCCAGAGCTGCGGCGACTTGTTGCGCTGGTTCAACGCTTATCCCAAGGGCCAGCGGCACGGTGCTGCCATTCGACGCGTCCATCGACACGCCCTCGTCCACCATGGCATCGTCATTGTCGCCTAGGCCACCACCTGCAGGCCCACCAGCTTTCGCGTTCACTTTGAATATCGCGCTAGGCTTTTCGTTCGCGATCGCGCCGAGAAGTTTGAAGTCGGTCGTACCGGGTAATTGCGCGTATACGGCGGCGGCGGTGCCATCTGGTAAGGTGACGCCCGGAAGCAGGAAGACGACGATGTGGGAGAAGGACGGCTGCGAAGGGATTTGGAAGGCGAACTGGGTCGGCGATATAACGGAGGAAGGCTCGGTGATGACAGGCCGCCCTGAGATGATGACACCGACTGAAGACATGTTCACGTGTCGCAAGCGCGTGATTCGAAGCTATGCGAAAAAGAAGTACTTGAGATGGCAGTAAGGCTGCAAGCCGCGCGTGAAGAAGTTTGACATGCAACAATCATCGTTGCGCAGCCTTTGCGACATTTCGAGATGCTTCTGCGTCATTCTTGGTCCAAGCTTCACCCCACATTCACTCGTGTGTGAAGGAGCTCAGACTGGCCATGAGTTGAGATGACGTTTCGTGCTGCATCACAAGAAAAGCGAACGTTCTAAATTTAGTCATTCTGTCCCACTTCTGAACATAGCATGCCCGTAACTCCCTCGCAATGAAAAACGCAACTGCCCTTTGCTCATCTCACATCCTAAACCCATGCACAGCGCTGACCCACCGTTGGTCGATTAGCTCGCTGGCCCTCATCAGAACGCGATATCCACCCATCAAAGCTTGGAATGAATGGATTCGCTCCTCTTCACTCATCAGAAAGAAACGGGCGAGACCAAATGCTGAGACTGTCTTCGCGTGATGGGTTGAAGAAGGAGCTATCGGCATGTTCAAGGGTTTGCGGAGCCATGCCATGATCACTTGAGCAGCGAATGGGTTGAGGCCGACTCGACGAAGGAAGACTTCCCAGCTTGTCTCTTGCGCCACAGGCTTGATGTCGCCAATGTCTGCTGAGCCATATGGCAGTCCGTACTTTGCCATCTCAACGACAGTGGACCGCGCCAGAGCCTGTTCCCCTCCACGAACGTATCGAACAAGTACTTCGCCTTCTAATTTGCTGGCGAACATATCGAAAGCTTTCAGAGCTTCTATATCGCGCGGGTCATCTGGTCGGCTCGATCCTAGCTCTTCCATCTCGCGGCTTAGCCCTTCGCTCACCAACACTATCAGTCTCTCATACCGCAGTTGGAGCTTCAACATACGTTCTTTCACGGGTGATTTATCTGGCTGGCCAGGAAGAGCTCTTTGCTTGATCTGCTGTAAGGTGGTAACGATGAGGCCGGTGGAAGGTGACAGTATGATCTCAGCTTCTTTGGCTGCCGAGTGCGGTAAGGTGTAGTCTCGATACACCATCTCTGCACTTGGGTAGATCGACTCGATCAACTTCAGCATTCCCCTTTGCTGTAGAAAGGTCGATGAGATCACGAAAGAACAAGGCGCCAGATTACTCGGAACGGTAGGAAGCTGGGGTAGCGGCTTGTTGGTGGTTCGCGCCTGCTGAGCCTGATCCACTGGCTGGTCGGACGAAGATCCCCTTGATCGAACCGGTAAGGTGTGCGTCCTCGGTTGATCATGATCCCTAGAGTCAGTCACTTTTGCAGTACTGCTTTCTACGCGATCTACTGGCTTCCCTCGCGTCTGCATGAACTTGTTAAGCGCGGTTGTTGCTGAGAAGCCACCAAACATCAGGTCTCCAGTCGCTTGTTTGGCAGCTTGCGGTTTCTGGTAGGCATGGTCCAGCCTCTTCGATCGGGTCTTCGCCGACTGGTCTTCTGTTGGCTCGCGTTCTCCGAAGTGGTGGCTCTCTTGCATCTCTGTGGAGGATCGGATCTGTGGACGCGCAGTCGGCTGCGAAGAGGTGCGCCTGCGATGCTTCTCTACGACCTCTTCCTCCATTTCAAGTTTTCGCTTGCGTATCAGAGCCTCCATGTCGTTTCGCTCATCGTATTCCTCTGGATCCAAATCTTCTTCGTCCTCATCTTCGTCAAGGATACGCAGGCCTTTGCGTTTCCACACTTGCGCTGAGCTAGTCGCGACATCGCCCGTAGTCATTTCAGTGACGATCTTAGTAACTTCCGACTCGCCATGAAGCTTTTCTTCGAGACTGAGAGTAGACACCTTGGTAGTGAGAAAGCCCCACTTCAACTCTCGTTCCGGGGTCGAAAGCCCATGCCAGGACTTCGCCAATCTCAGACCCTCTCGCTTGATGCGTAAGAGAAATTTCATCTGCGCTTGCAGTTCCGTGTCATCAGGTAGATGATCGCCACCCTTGCGCCGACTGTACTCTATCCATGGTGCAATGGGCAGCGAGAAGTCGATGTATGGAATATCGACTCTTGCAATCGTGTCAGCGCCGGACAGTCGTTCGTTCTCGATTTTGTTGTTGGCGCGTTCAGCCTGCTCCTCCATTTCGTGGAAGAACTGGTCAGAGCCAATCCCACCTGCATCGTCGTCAACCCATGGCTTATAGAGTAAGGATTCATCCGCGAAAGACACAGACTTGAGCCTTTTCATGGGCGAACTAGAACACATCGATGGCGTAAGAGGACCTTCCACTTTGAGGTCCTCAGCTCGGCGCTTCAGTATGGGCGAACTGGTTGGTTCGAAGTGAGGACTGAGATGAGGTGGATGTGTAAAATCAAATAGCATCGAATCACTGCTATTTGAGTTTGTGCGAAGAAGAGCGTCCGCTGCCAGAATTTGCTCCTGCAGAGCCCGCGCCTCAATAGTGACCGAGTCGGCAGTATCTGAATCGAATGGCAGACGATTTGTGGGTGAAGATGGAATGTATGGTGTCAGTGGCGGCGATACTGGGAGTAAAGGCGGTGTCACAGGCCGGATATTGGGCTTCTGAGTCGGTTAGCAATCGGGTATGAACAAGGCTTCCGCATACCTGTTTTCGTATCAGGCTCTCTGCCTCCAACTTTTGGCCGTCTTCCGGTAGATACGCGTCTCGAACAGTGTCCTGCAGATATACCAACACCTCCCGTGAGATGGCGAGCTTTTCGGCTTTGACCCGCGCGTCGCACTGTGCAGGGTAATCGAGATACCTGGTTGGCCAGCCAAAGCCCTCATCGTTTTCTTCTACCGTGATCTCCGAAGGAATCTGTGAGTTTTTGAAGTCTGGTACAGCTGTATCACCGAAGTTGAGCAAATCAAGCTCATGATCAGATCTTAGCACAGGTAGCTCTTGATGTAGATCGCGTCTCCATGTCCGGCTATTAGTGACCGTCGAGTCGCTCGCAAGTTCATCCTGGAGAGCATGCGCTGCCTTGAGGAGCAACGCAGTGTCTTTGTTCACCGTAAGCTTTTCTTTGACAAGCCCGCTGACAGCTGTGTCGATGGTCGCATCGGAGGGCTCGTGGAGATGTCGATCAAACTCATCGTCTGGTGGTGACTGAACATGGCGAATGTGCAGTAGCTCCGTTTCATAGTTCACACAAACGCCTTGCGCTCTCGCCCATTCGAGGACGCTTGGCTCCGATGTGTCCAGGCCGAGGTCCAGTTCCATGCTGGTCGCGTCTGAAGAATGTTCGCTCTCAAGTAATGTGGGTAACAATAGTCGTTAGCTGGCTGTCTTTCGTATGAGAAGCACAAGTGGTGAGTGTCGATTGCGAGGGTTGCGCTTTCTTCATCCTACCTTGCTTGGCATCCACGTGGTCACTCGCTCGTAGTCACGCAATGTCACAAATAGGAAGGAGCAGGGAAAATTTGATGATGGTTTGATTTCTTGATTCATTAACTCGTGGCTTATTTGGGCCATGATTTGTTCTAGGCTGTCCTGTATATTTTCATGTGAATGTGCAAAGGGTGTTGAACTATGTACATGCGAGTAGGACTGTATTTCCTTCCACTAGCTACGCGCGTCTATTTGGGAACAGGCTTCTGACCGAAGCCGAGAGACTGGTTTCCTCCGTTGAAAGCAACGAGCTGGGCCTTGAACATTGTGTCACCGTAAATCTGCAGACCGGCACCCTGGTTGCCTTGTACACCGCCGAAGCAGGTCGTGTTGGCCGCATCAACTGTGGCGAAAGTAATCTGGCTACCGGGGATCTTGGCCATGTATGAGTCGCCGATTGCGACACTCATGTCAGGGAGGGCAGTACCGCACGGGTAGATGAAGCCACCGACCTGAGCGTTAAGCTGAGCACCCTGGACTTGCGAGTAGTATGCCTCGGCAACCTGCTGGTCGACGAGCAGGAGCGATGTACCGGTGTCGGCGATGGCGTCGGAGCCTTGAGGGTTCTCAAAGAGCTGGTCGCCGACGGCAAACTTGGTAGAGCCGAATTGCCAGAAGCCAGTGTCAGCCTTGACTGGGATCCATGCCATGTCGCCTTCGAACTTTGTAGCATCGATCTTGCCGAACTCGTAAACACCGGTGCCATCTGGGTCGAGGTCGGCAGTGAAGACGGGCATGTCTAGGTTGGGCATGACGTTGTCGAAGAAGGTCTTTGCGGGGGTCTTCTTGGTTCCGTCGTTAACAGTGTTGAGGTTGGAAAATGCAAGACCGACGAGGCCATCAGTGTTGGTGTCCTGGACGAAAGACTGGGATACTTGGTTGGCTAGCTCGACAGTCTGACCCTCAACCTTGACACCTCCAATGGTGACAGTGTCAGTGCCAACGATACCAGCAGCGCCAGAACCGTCACCGTAGCTGATCTTCCACTGAGCACCGGCAGTGGCCTTGAAGGAAGTAGACTTGGATGCGTCGAAAGCGGAGTGTTGGCCGATCAGTTGCGGGTCGAGCTCAGTACTGAAACACCAAAGATCGGAAGAACCAGAGTCGAAGTCCAAGTTCAGGGTCTGACCACCAATATCGACAGGCGACAAGAACAGAGCAGCGTTGTCCTCAGGGTTGGCTGCAACACTGCCAGTCTTGTTGCCACCAGTGGCAGCAGCTGCGGTCACGTTCTGGCTCTGCTTTGAGAACGAGATGAAACCCTCCTTGACCATGAAGTCTTCCTTCACCTTGAAGTTGTACTTCCTGAACACCTTCCTCATAGCAGCAGCGCCATTAGGTCCAGTCGGGTGAGCCCTGTTGATTTGCCTGGGAACTTTGAACGAGCGTTTTTGGAGACCCCTCTTGCGGGCAGGGGCGGGAGCGGCAAGCACAACGGCCGCCAAAAGAGTGACGAAGAATAAGAATCGTAGAGAAAACATGTTGAGCTGTTGAGCTAATGCTGACCGGCAGCCGGACTGGAAGAACCTGTCGTTTGGAAAGAAGAGAATGGGGTAAAGAAAGGAAGGTACGAAACGAAACACAACTTCCTCGAAAGAAACAGAACAGAAGGCTCGGCCTGATGGTAGTCCACGGTTCTCAAGGAGGGTGCGAAAAGAGTGCTTTTAAAGAAGGAACGTCTATGCGACCAACGATGTAGAGACAGTGAAACTCGAGAAGGATGAAACCTGAGCCTGCAATCCGAACCGATGCCGACGCATGATGAATGATCTGGGAGCGCTAACTCGACACTCAAGGCCAAGCTGAGATCCACGCGGCAGCAGACAAAACGCTACGCGTGCTGCATTGTCGATGATCCATGGGGAACATCAAGCCTAGCTCCTGTCAGTTTTTCAGGCACAGAAATCTAGAAGCCCGTCTAGTTGGCTACTAATCGTGCGAAACGGGGACTATGGGTCTAGAGACAGCGATGTGATTGGTCCAAAAGCATCTCGAGCCTCCTCGGAGAGGTATCGATAAGGCAATGGGGGTCGTTACGCGTCCAGCTTGACGCTGTTGAAGAAATGTGGAGAGAGCTAACATCAGGCAGGGCTCCGACTGCAGGTACGTTTCAGTACCGTGGTACCGACAAACGTCAGAGTCGCACGAGAGGCTCTCGAACGGTAGTGCTAGCTTGCGCCTGGTGATGCTAGAAAGTTGTTTCTGTCAGCCACCTCATTTCAACTGACCATTGTGGCTGCTCTGGTGTTCTGGAGAGGTACGCCTCTTCTCGCCGAGTCGCTTGAAGTTGACGACGCGCGGTCATGCCGTCAACGAGCATGAACGGGTGAGCTGACGAAGCCCGGGGGACGGTGTTTCGCAATGCCAAGACCAGACAAGCTAACTGGGCGTTGCCTCATGGATGAAACAAAGGGCCCGCCAACCCGCAACTCGAGAAGCCGGAAGTCTTCCCATGTCTCTCGTACATCCGGGATGTCAGACAAGCAGCCGCGGCGAAGCTTAACTGTCATGTTGCGGGATCGGATTTGCAGTTTCTCCAGGACCAACCAACCTGATGCGCGTCTTCCCAAACATGCTCCATCATTACAAACATGCTTCATCGCGGTTTCGCGCCACTTATCTCGGCAAGCAAACAGACTGGGCATCCGCCGATGCGAGGTTCATGTTTCGAACATCAAGGCTTTGAAGCTGTTGGTGAGGCCGGTGCGGCATTTTCCCTGATTTCGCAAGCCGTCGCGTTCAAGGGCGAATGGCCAGCGCCAGGCGGCGTGGATGATCGAGCTTCTCCACTCCATTATTTGGTACAGCGGCGTAGGGGAAATTGCGCAAAGCATGATTGAGCGCTGTGGAGAATAGTCCGCACGCTGCGCAGGTGGCGTTGAGAAAAGCAAGTTCATCGTTCTAGACAAGCGAGAGAGGGTGTCGTCACGAAAGGGAACCGCAAGTGCACGGGCGCGGAAGAAAGACATTTTCAAGGGTCTTGACACTGACAGGCGAGGAAGGTTGCATGAAATCAATGCATATATTCGAATATTGAATGAAGGCGCTTTTGTTCTATCATAAGGTGACATTCCTCCTACGTCGTCAACGCGCCGACCGATGCCTTTTCATCATCATGAGCACGACATCAACGCCCACCCGCACACCCAACTTCACCGCTGCCAGCTCTCAGATCTTTCGCTCTGCGCGAATTGTGCAACGTCCACACCACATCCAAGCGATGGGTGTGTAACTTGGTACTGCACCTTCGAGTGCGGTGGCGTCCAACCCCTTGGGCATGAACTTCGTACTCCGACTATCGGCCGCCTGCATAGGGCGATGCGTGGCGTCTGGATGGCGTTGGTATGGCTCAAATGTTGATCGTCAAACGTGTTCATCCAAGCAGTTCCACATCTAGACCGATGGCCCTCATAAAGAGGTTCACGTTGGCCGTACGTGCGCTTGCCATCTCAGCGGGCAAAGCCTTGCTAACAGATACCGTCTCCATGACGCGGTCCTTGACGCCGAGCACCAACCTCTGTTGCTGCTCGGGACTGGCGCCCACACCCATTGCAGCCAGGAACTGCCAGATGTACATGTCGTCGGTGTCGTTGATAGTTCCTGGGAACAAATAAGGAAGAACAGGTTCGATGACGTCAAACAGACGGTTGTAAAGTGCCGTCCATTGTTGCCAGTCGGTAACCATCTCGGGAGCTGACTGCTTAAGAAGCTCGGCGCGAGAGATGAGGAACGTGAGGAGAGTGAGACCAATCCTGCTTCGAGCCACAGTGTGGAGGTTGGTGCGGTCCAGAACAAGACCAAGGAGGCCGATGACAATGTTCAACGGCGCCTCGGAGATGTGCGCGTGGAGAGGCGACATGACAGTGCTAGAGAAAAGGTCAACCTCTTCTCGGATCGCTGCACTCAAAGGCTCCTCGGGCGTAGCGATAGCACGGCCGACCACGGAAAGGGCATCTAGGTGGACAACGATCATAGTGACGACGGTAATGCGCTCCTGCTCGTTGATGTGGCGAAAAAGTCGTGGAAGTACCTTCTTTCCCTTGGCGTGTGAAAGGATGGAGATGAACGGATGCGGTGTGCTAGAGTTTGTTAGCAAGAAAGAGGGGTTGGGAATATTACAACATACGCAGGGTTAATGGGCTCCATGATCTTTGTGTTCAACCACAGTTGCTGATGGAGCGCTTCGATCTTCGAACGCCATTCCATGTGTGCCTGGATGGCTTCAGGAGGGCTGCTCTCTTGGATCGGCGGTGGCATTGCCCGCTCGTGGTCTTCCATTTGCATGAGTGTCTTGTACACCGCCTCGATGTTGCGAAGAGCCTCCTTCCGGTCAGCGATGGAAGACCGGTGGTTCTTCGGCAGCTTATCGTTTGTCTCTGGCCGCTTCAGGTTGAGCAGTGGTCGAGGGGTCTTGGAGTTGCTGAACGCAATCTTTCCAAGACTACCTTCCACAACAAGCTGCCTAGCCTTTGGTCTTGCTTTGGCCGCCTCGACTGCGCGCTGAATCTGTTGCTCCATGCGCTGCATGTGGTTGTCTCCGCCTCGGCCTTGTCTGCGGTTGCCAAACCTGTTGTTGGTCTGGAACAGGTATGTTTGAGCAAATTGGCTTGCTGGCTGCTGTGGGTTTTGGCGTGGAGCACCCCGAATCTGGGTGAAGACCTGGTAGTAGAAGTCTTCTGCAATAGCTGCCTCAGGTCCTCTCTCCTCCAAGTTGCCCGTCGCAGTCATCAGTTGCTGTAACTGGATTCGGGTGATGAAGTTCTTGTCCTGTGGCGTCATCAGGCCGTTGTCTTTTGCTAGGAGAGCAATTTTGTGGTTCCGCTTGGCCCGCTTAGCATCTTCTTCGAGGAAGGCGGCACGCTCGGCCTCAGATAGCTGAAGAAGCTGCTCGGGGTGGGTGATGACCATTCCTGGGAACGACGGACCGCGGTTGTGTCCTGCTGGAACACCACGAGGACCCTGGGGAGCATTCTGAACAATAGGCTGGCCTTGTCCTGACAGACGGTTTGGGTTTTGCAAGATCTGTCGAGGCTGGGTGGGTGTACCCTGAGCCTGAGCCTGGGGTGTTGCTTGGCGCTGCTGCTGAGCGCCGGGCTCGTTGGATTGGGGCCTTTGTCGCTGTAGGATGGTGGGCTGTTGGGGCGGCTGGGATCGGACGGGTTGGTCGGGGAGCTCAGCGCGGACCTGCTGCTGTTGCTGTCTAGGCGGCATTTGTTGAGCGGGCTGCTGCTGTTGAGGCCTTTGCAGAATCTGGGGCACGAACTGTCCTGGCATGCCGGGGTACTGGGGCTGTCCATGGGGAAACTGCTGCTGCTGCTGCTGGGCGAATTGCTGTTGTTGCGCAAATCCTGGAAAGCCTGGAGGCGGGGCTTGTTGCACTGGAGGGGTACCTATTGACTGAGCGCGCATCATGGCCTCGACCTCTTCCATGCTCATGGCCTTTCTGGTGGGCGCGGGCTGTTGCGAAGCGGCAGGGGGCTGCGGCGAAGGCTGTCTCTGCGCAGCGGGCTGCTTGGGCTTGAGACCCCAGATGTCGGCGCGCGCCTCCAGCTGAGGGATGTACTCGGGATCCTTGTAGCTCTCGTAGCCAGTGCGGTTTGGCTTCGACGCCTGGGGGACGGGTGGCCTCTGCTGGTACTGTTGGGTTTGCTGTTGCTGGTATTGCTGCTGATGGTGCTGTTGCTGCTGCTGCTGCTGCTGCTGGGGGTACTTCTGACGGGCCTGGTACAGCATCTGCTCCTCCTGCAGCGTGTTTGATACCGCAGAGGTCTGGCCGGCGAAGTCGAAGTGTTTTCCGACCGACTGCTGCGTGGCAGGGCCGCCGCCGAAGGTGTCGTCGTTGAGGTCATCGGCATCGTCGTCGAGCTGGTCGCCTAGGCCGTCGTACGTCTCCTCGAAGTCGATGCTGTGGATGGGGTAAGTGGGAGCTGTGGGCTACGTGAGACGCGACCTACACATCGTCATCGGCTGCCCCTCCACCCAGTGCGGCGAAGGCGTCGTGCTGGCCAAACCCGGGCGCATTGGAGGCGTGGCCGCGGTCTCTCGGGCCGCTGGGGTCAAAGCCAAAGAAAGACATGGTGGGCGGAACCCGGCGGTGGGGGTGGTGTGGTGGTGTTTATGCGGCGGTCGAAGTGATATTTAACACGCGAAAGTGGTGACGTTGGGCTACTAAGTAAAGGCAGATTGGCAGGGCGGCGGTCGCATGGGCGCACCCACGAATAAATGGCGGCAGATGGGCAGATAACTCGCGACAGGCGAATGACGCCGCAGGGTACAGTAACGGCGACGGAGTGGGTGGGCGAGGTTGTGCCTGTGGTACTGCGAACCCAGGTTGGCTCCATCGCGGCTTGCTCCCAATTGGCGGCCAGGCCCGGCCTTACCCAAAGAATCCGACTCCCTGCGAAGTGGCTACATTACTACGGCGCCCGTCAACGACTCCTATCCACCTCGTGTCCTCCATCCCTAACGTTGCCTGCCACCTCAACCTCGACGACTGGCTGATGCGCATTCCCCGCGTCTCGCATCCGCTCGTTTTTCTGTAGTCCTACACTCCGGGGAACCAACGCGCCGACAGCGTCCGTCCGGCACCACCCCTAGGGCTACCCGTAGACGTCTCACACCTCCATCACGCCTCCTCCGTACCCCACACGCCGTCCGCAGCAAAGGCAATTGAGCAGCGAAAGTGGAGGGCTCCGACGTCACCGAAAAGAAGCAGCCCAAAGAGCAGCAGCCTCAGGGCCATTTCGCCATGGCCGGCAACCAGCGGTATATCCGCTACCTTGTCTTTGCCGTAGTGGTACGTGCCGGCATCGTGTGACGGTTGCGGAAGCAGCGACTGACCATACCCAGGCCCTCGTCCTCCTCTACTTCATCGGCTCCTCGTCCTCTGTGCCTTCCGCAAGCTGGCCAGTCTACCAGGACAACAAGTCGCCCGCGACTCCTCCCCAGGGCAACGCCCCCGTCGCCAACGATGAAGTCCAACAAGTTGCGCCTGGCACTACGCCCAACGAGCAGGAGGGCCTCCCCCCCGCGACTGCCCCCGGCGACCGCATGAACGCAACCTTCGTCACCCTCGCCCGCAACTCCGATGTCTGGGAAATCGCCAAGTCCATCCGCCAAGTCGAGGACCGCTTCAACCGCAAGTTCCACTACGACTGGGTTTTCCTCAACGACGACGAGTTCGACGACCAATTCAAGAAGGTTACATCTGCTCTTGTGTCCGGCAAGACCAAGTACGGCAAGATTCCCAAAGAGCACTGGTCCTTCCCCGAGTGGATTGACCAGGACAAGGCCGCCAAGGTCCGCGAGACAATGAAGGAGAAGAAGATCATCTACGGCGACTCCGTCAGCTACCGACACATGTGCCGCTACGAGTCTGGCTTCTTCTTCCGCCATCCCTTGATGCTCGACTACGAGTGGTACTGGCGCGTCGAGCCCAGCGTCGAGCTCTACTGCGACATCAACTACGACACCTTCAAGTTCATGGCCGACAACAAGAAGAAGTACAGCTTCACCCTCAGTCTTTACGAATACGTCGAGACCATTCCTACCCTCTGGGATGCTACCAAGAACTTCACCAAGCACTACCCCCAGCACATTGTCAAGGACAACGGCATGAAGTTCCTTAGTGACGACGGCGGTGAGACCTACAACCACTGCCACTTCTGGTCCAACTTCGAGATCGGCAACCTTAACTGGCTCCGCTCCGACGCCTACATCGACTTCTTCACCTCGCTCGACCATGCTGGTGGTTTCTTCTACGAACGATGGGGCGATGCTCCCGTGCACTCCATTGCTGCTGGTCTGCTACTACAAAAGGACGAGATTCACTTCTTCAACGACATCGCCTATTACCACGTCCCATTCACACATTGCCCAACAGGCGAGCAATACCGCCTCGACCACAAATGCTCTTGCAACCCCAAGGACAACTTTGACTGGAATGGATACAGCTGTAAGTTGCCAGTACCCTAGCCCATATTCATATACTAACACGTCACAGGCACATCTCGTTTCTACGAAATGCAAGGCATGGAGAAGCCAGCAGGGTACGAAAAGGAGCAATAAGCGCTCAATCTCCCGTCTGTCCTTCGTCCTACTTCGATCCGAACAATCTTCAATTTATCCATTTTCTTGACACACCGGTTCTGACTTATTGTCAAGCGCACCACTCTCGACTGCAGCCAAGGTTTGGCGTGTTGTGAAAATTGTCTTCTTCGTCTTCGCAACCTTGATTGTACTGGCCACGTGCATTATTAGGCGGCGGCGACCTTCTGGGCGGTTCAGTCAGGTAAACCAGGGAAAAACTTCGTTGCCCAAGTGGCCCTCATAGGGATATTCCGAACCAATATCGGTGTGTATGGTTGGATTGGCGTTGGTAGCGGTTCAAATTGTTGGCTGCTTGTCTTGGCACGGTATGCCAATGTGGGCGAGGGAATGGCGGTCATACATGTATTGTCTTGTTGAATTGATGTATGCGTGTAGTTGATGACTGTAGACTAATGACCGCATTCATATGCAGACATCGAAGACATCACAATCACATCTTAACCAGCGATACAAGGTGTCCACATCTGTAGAACTAATTCACCAAACCCTGATCCCATGGGACCGTAAATTTGAGCTTTTTGCACATCCTTTTCTAAATCTCGCTGTTCACAGACATGGTTGCGTTCATTATAACTTTCAGACAGACTTGTTTACAACACATGTACTCGTCCACAATGGCCTTAGTGTTGTGTTTACATTCAGCTCGGTGTGTGATGAAGAAGAGAAGTAGAGGACGTAAGATAGGCTGTTGTACGATTCGATAGCTCAGTTTGGCTTTGATCGTCTGTCAAAAAAAAACCCCCTCAGGAAGAACCGAGGAGCTTTTTGAGGTGGTCTACAGGGCCGCTCTCTTGGTGTAAACAGGACTGATGTACCTGCAGACATGGCCCGATGACCTGGACTTTTTGGTGAGTTTTTACTTGGTGCAACCGGCCAAACATAAAGGGGTTTCCTTCTATTTTATTCGCACTCGCTTTCTTCCATGTGATCTTTGTTTTCGGGGTTTTGAGACTCGCCCACACATAACGGGAATTTTCTTCGATTTCGGAAAAATCGAACACAGAAACTGATGACAAAGAGAAGGAGGGTCGTCACAAGTCTGGTTTATATGGCCGCCGCGCGGCGGGTAGGAAGAACTTGTGGATGACTGCCGAGAACGCATGATTTCCGAACCCCGAATTTGGTGACTTGAAGCAAGAACTCCGACCCAGTTTTTCCACAAACATCGCTTTTGCGTTTCCAGTCTTGGCTGCCACTTCTTGGCCACAGCAGAACATGCATTGATGTTGTCCATCTTTTGGTAGACTTCATCGGTGAATCAGAATACGGTGTAAGAAAGTGGAGAGTTCAAACATGGAGCGTTCGAATTGCAATTTTGTGCTCAACTCGCTCTCCACTCATGAGACGTTAACATAACCGTTTTTGAAGAACTGAAACGTATATTGGAATGAAGGAAAGGAAGAAGAGAAGGTGTGAGAATCTTGTTTATATGCACACTAGCGCTACCAACACATGCTCGCTAAAGAACGCTCATATCATCGAAACCCAAAACCATCCGCACGCTGTTCCATGGGATGCTCATCACTCAGTCGTTGTAGTTGACAACGCCACTTCCATCTTTGTTTGCCTTGCGTATCCCATACTTCTCACTCAACTCGTCTTCCTGTGACCGACTGTTTGGATCGAGGTATGGCCGCTCGGCACGAACAGTCACTCGGACAGCGTGGCGACGATGAGGCGCGAAACCGTAAGTGGCAGAGTGGTTCTACTTGCTGTCAGCAGTGCATCATTCTGGAGAATGAGACTCAACATACCGTAACCCTGTTATCCCAAAACGCAACATCCCCCTCATTCCACTGGAACCTAGCATGAACCTCGGGACTAGTCGCCACAATCTCCGTCAGGAAACTGATAATATGATCCGACTCCGTCTTTGGCACACCAACAATCTTGGTTACAAAGCCAGGGTTGAAGAAGATGCTCTTCCAGCCCGTAACGGGGTTCGTCCGAACGAGTGGGTGCTCGGTGGTGACGGGCTCGCGACGTACTGTCCGGCCGAGATCGCGCGAGCCTTGGGCTTGCAACTCTGCGGAGTGCAGGGCGGTGAGGGACTCGAGGTACTTTTGCATGTGGGGTGAGAGCATGTCGTAGGCTGCGTATTGGGAGGACCAGAGGGTGTCGCCGCCGCCGCCACGGGGTGGGCCGGTGAGAACTTTGAGGGATGTGTAGGAGGGAGGTTGAAGTTCGTATGTTACCTGGTTCGGGTCAATAAAACTTGTGTCTCTTTTGATGCGGTGTAGAGTTCTTACATCAGAGTGCCAGAGGAACGATGGTGTGAATAAAGCCCTTAGGTCTGGGCTATCTTCGCCGGTATAGATGACGTGAACGTCCTCCAATCCCTCTCGCTTCGGTACACCAGTTGTGGCATGCTTGTGCAGCTCGCCAAAGTACTTTCCCAGCTCCCTTTGCTCATCGATGCTGAAGTTTTTCTGGTTCCGGAAGAACACAACCCCACGTGTAGCGATCAGTCGAGCCAGGTCGTTCTTCTGAGCATCGGTGAGGTTTGCTAGATCAACGCCACGTATCTCAGTACCGATCTTTGGATTGTAGTCAAACACGTCTGTGGCAGTTGCGAGGAGGTTCTTGAAGTTGGGATCGCCTAGTTGGCCTTTGTCGGCGTAGGGAATTTCAGTGTAGGCCGGCCATGTGATGTTGGGAAAGTGTGGTCGTAGATCTTCGTACTTGTACGGTTCGGCATGCTTCTTGACAGTGGTACGCCCGGGGATGTAGCTGTGGGCGTTGCTAGACTTTGGTATTGGGAGAGATGTGGACGTAGCGGTGGGTTGGTAGTGAGGTTCGACGAGTCCTGGAGCCATCGTTGTTGCCGGGATAAATAAGATTTTCGTGTGATGACAAGTATTGTGCAGTCCACAGAGTTAGGTTATTACCGCTCAGATGAGACGTGCTTCTAGATAGCAATACAAGAAGTATGGCAGTGGGATGTGGCTGCCAGTGGATGCTTGTGGA